TTAAAGAAAATTATGTCAGAATTTAATATAACAAATGGAGAAAAGATATTTGAGAAACTAAACCAATGTTTATGCTCTGAGAGACTTCTGCAGATTGTAATAGTAGCTTTCTTGTATGTGTTTTGTTTTTTTTATCCTTACCTGCATTGATCGGATCCTTACCTGATGTTTTGCTTTCTAAAGAGATTAATTCTCCGTGTGTCTTCTTGTACGTAGTTGTTTTTTTGTGACTTCAGGGGGAGCTCCCCCTTGAAGTCACAACTTCAGCTCCCCCTGAAGTCACAACTTCCGGTCTGACGTAATGTCCTCATTAATAATATAAAACCATGGATTACATTATCATAACTACCCTCCTAAACCAAGGATCACCTAAATGAGTGATTCTTTAACCTTTCAGCGAAACCTGACACCCGTCTTACACCACCGTCTGTACCAACAAAACATACCACTTAACTCCTATGGTTAAGAAGACTTTCAACAACCAGACCACATGGCACCATTTGGAAAGTCACCTTGAGGATAACATCCACACCAGACTTGAAGTTACATTTGGAGATCCACACACAAAAAAGCATGTTTATACATGAGAGCTTCACATGTATCATGTTTACCAAAACTCTCACAGAACCCCAAAACTCCAATCGTCCTCTTTATCGACCACCCCCTTCTAGGGTCAGAATCTGTATATTCTTTATATTCATGTGGCCAAGAAGTCTATAACACAAGACTTTCTCATCCATAGATGGTTTCTTCCTGCCACTGTATTTATATCACTTGATGCAGCTTCTCCATCTACCAGGTACAATGACCCAGACAAGGTTCTTTGAAGAGCTAGTTTTCCCATTCTTGTAAAACATAGTCTTCCAATGTCTCAAAACCTAATACAACCAAGGTTCCAGAAGATACCAGGTTCCTTCTAAGTTCCGGAATATACCTGACATATGTGAGTGTCTTCACTGAACTTTCATATATATGCTTTGTTGATTGTACCAATCCATTGCTCTCCTACTGGACCCTTTAAATCATGATACTTGGTATCTAATACCG